AGGCTACACACGAGACGATAATCCCGGATAATACAGAGAACGTGTCGTGACGGGCCAGCTAAACACGCGGGGAGTCTCCTGATCGGCTGTGCAGGGGACCAATGGCAGGTGACAATTAAACACATAAAATGAGTATCCTGGATACACAGAAATCGCGCCGTGCCGTGACAGGCTGGCTAATCAAGACCAGCGTCCATGGTAAGTCCATGGTACACAAGGAACGCTCCTTGCCGTGTGTGATAGGTCGGATAAATCTACGTATACAGAATCGGTAGACTAGAATCGTGATTAATTTAAGATGTTAAAAATATTGAGAAAAAAGAAGATCATACTTCTTTTTTGTCTTAAATTAAGATAAGATAAAATGTATGTAACGTTAATATCGGACGTTAAGAGATTATCTTTCTTCATAACTTTATCAGCTTCATATTTGCTTCGCTTTCAACATTTTCTGTTCACTAATTCGGGCAGAAAACCATTCGCTTGACTGATGGAAACGCCACGTGTCATTATGCCCACCATTTGCGCAATTCCGATAGCAATAAAGAATAAACGGATAAATAAATAAAGTAATTCCCTGGGTGTCCCGTGTCCCGCATTAGCCGCGTGACAATTTCATTAGCGGAGGTGTCGGCATTATCGGCCGCCGCATAAATCAGCCCGTCAGGGTAGGGTTGGGATACGATGTTACCGAGACAAAGTCGATACAATAACTGAAAGCGTTGTTTACACCTGACACAGGACCAAGTTGAAAATATATTTGACTATCACCCGAATTCACAAACGACGCGATGCTTGCTAAGTGAAGCAGCAAATCGAACGCACAGCGTTGAAATGAGCTCTGTGATTGATTCGTGTGTGACCCTGTGCGTCCACGCGCACTATGAGACCTCATAGTAATGTTTGTGAATACGGGCGTATTATGAGTCGATCTGATCGCAGCTTAATGAGTTCGTTCCAACGAAATATTGCCATACTACTCGTCACTAACTTGTTCTATGATAATAGACTTCAATCCCCTCGTTTAGGGGAAGACTACTTTGATATAGGCTCTATGAATGCTCAATTCATTGTGTTCGCGCCTTGCAGACGCGATGGAATTTTATAAATAAAACTCGGAAACTGCTTATTTCGTTGTATTCTTGAGACGTTACAATTTTGATGTTGTTCGATCGGAATCCAAAAGAGAAGTGATTTTATACAATGGTTCTCAATATAAAGTATTAACTGACAAAAGTTATGTGACATTTGCATTAGAAGTAGATTTTGCTATTAGAATATGACGAGGCGCGAGTAGGGCCGCAACATACTCCCCCCGGTTGAAGGCTCCAGCTCTTCAACTCTCGAAGTCTTCATCGCTGAGCAGCGGGCAGAGCCGCACTAAGGGCCGTCGGTAGCTGCCGGAGGTAGTCTTCACGTCAGCAACACGGACAATTCCATCAGGGCCAGGATACAATTTGGTTACTCGCCCAGCACGCCAACAGAGAGGTGGGAGAGATTCTTCTTCTCCAAAAATGTTGTAGTTTCTCCAACAGAGCGTAGCGCTGGAGTCGTTTTTCATCTTTAGTCTTCAGAGATGGTGACGGCAGCGCATTCAGTGGTCTTCCTGGTTAAGAAGTGCCCTGGGGAAAGGAAAAGGGAATTGTCAAGGGATGAAGTTAAAGGACACAAGGGAAGGCCATTTAGTATAGCTTCCACTTGTGCAAAGTATTGATTGAAATTTTCTAAACAGTTAAATGAGACGTGTCTATTACGTCTTAAANACAAAAGTAACATTTCGACAAGCGAGCACCGCGTCTCCTACGATTTGCAACACTCACTTTAGATTATTATGAATGTTGTACCTTGCACGCGTCGGCACCGAACGCACTGGCGCACAGTGCTCCGGGAGACAAGTCTGCCTTTTGTTGGCCAGATCGTTATCTCACTGCCACTAGGAGAATGTGCGAGCTAGCATGCACAATATTACGAATGCTCTCAAATGTAAAATTAGATAGATAATGTGATTAATAAATTAAGTTAATATGTAAATTGAATTGAATTTTGATAAGCTAGATGATAAATTAATAATTGAATTATTTTTATGGATTATAGATTGATTGCACTGTAGTTGATTGCCTATGCATAAATTAATAGAACCGCCAATTAGCCAGCCAAACTTAGAGTTTTGAAGTTTCGGTTTATTTTTCCCTAATGATTTTTGTTCACATATTAGAACATCCCAAAATAGATCTGCGCCTATTAAAAGATCTATAGGGCCTGGCTGAATAAAATCAGGGTCTGCTAATTTAATATTTTTGAGTAATTTTAATTGATTTAAATAAATTGGAGACTTTGGAAGAACTCCTGTGAGCTTGTCAAGAACAAAGCAATTAAGATTTGATTGGTAATTATGACGAGTGGATTTTAGTTTAACAACACAGCTTTCATTGACTGAGCTTGAGTTGTTTCCAATTCCAATGACATTGATGGAAGTTGGATTAGAATTTAATGATAGTTTTTGTTGCAATGATTTTGTAATGAAAGATGACTGACTGCCTGAATCCAATAAGGCTCGAACTAAAGTTGCCTTTTTAGTTACTGGATTCACGACTTCTATTTGGGCAGTAGTCAAAATGACATGACGTGTATTTTCTTCTTTAGAGAAGTTGACAATGGATTCCGATGGTTGTATTTGAGCATTGTTGGCTTTAGTGGCGTCAACTGAATGCAGTAGTGTATTATGTCGCTCGTTACACTGCCTACATGGACCCATACGACACTCGCGGGCCGGGTGTCCTTGACGTAAACAGTTTGAACATAATTTATATTTAGAAACGTCTGTTAACCTATCCTGTATTGATTTTGATTTAAAAATTGAACAGTCGAATATTTTATGATTTTGGTTGCAAATAATACAGACGTGTGAATTATTATTATTAGAATTTAAAGTTGCATTATGTGAATTTGTTTGAAAAGTNGTAAGAATATTTCGGCTGGCTGACCTCAGCGGGGAATAAAATATAGTAAGTTAACTCAATTACAGCTGCCAAATGAATTTGTATCTAAAATAAAATGAATAAACAAAAGTAACACTTGCGACAAGCGAGCATCGCGTCCCCTACGATTTGCAACACTCACTTTAGATATGAATGTTGTACCTTGCACGCGTCGGCACCGAACGCACTGGCGCACAGTGCTCCGGGAGACAAGTCTGCCTTTTGTTGGCCAGATCGTTATCTCACTGCCACTAGGAGAATATGCGAGCTAGCATGCACAATATCACGAATGCTCTCAAATGTAAAATTAGATAAATAATGTGATTAATTAATTTAATTTAATTGAATTTTGATAAAGAACATGATAAATTAATAATTGAGTTATTTTTACAGATTATAGATTGATTGCACTGTAGTTGATTGCCTATGCATAAATTAATAGAACCGTCAATTAACCAGCCAAACTAAGAGTTTTGAAGTTTCGGTTTATTTTTTCCTAATGATTTTTGTTGACATATTAGAACATCCCAAAATAGATCTGCGCCTATTAAAAGATCGATAGGGCCTGGCTGATTAAAATCAGGGTCTGCTAATTTAATATTTTTGGGTAATTTTAATTGGTTTAAATTAATTGGAGACTTTGGAAGAACTCCTGTGAGCTCGTCAAGAACAAAGCAATTTAGATTTGTTTGGTAATTATGACGAGTGGATTTTAGTTGAACAACACAGCCTTTATTGACTGAGCTTGAGTTGTTTCCAATTCCAATGACATTGATGGAAGTTGGATTAGAATTTAATGATAGTTTTTGTTGCAATGAATTTGTAATGAAAGATGACTGACTGCCTGAATCCAATAAGGCTCGAACTAAAGTTGCCTTTTTAGTTATTGGATTCGCGACTTCTATTAGGGCAGTAGTCAAAATGACATGTGTATTTTCTTCTTTAGAGAAGTTGACAATAGATTCCGATGGTTGTATTTGAGCATTGTTGGCTTTAGTGGCATCAACTGAATGCAATAGTGTGTTATGTCGCTCGTTACACTGCCTACATGGACCCATACGACACTCGCGGGCCGGGTGTCCTTGACGTAAACAGTTTGAACATAATTTATATTTAGAAACGTCTACTAACCTATCCTGTATTGATTTTGATTTAAAAATTGAACATTCGTATATTTTATGACTTTTCTTGCAAATAATACAGACGTGTGAATAATTATTGTTGGAATTTAAAGTTGCATTATGTGAATTTGTTTGAAATGATGATTTATTGCTATTAAAATTTGAATTTTGATTTGATTTTACGTAATTATTAGTGTTGTTAGAATTATTATTATATTGATTACGACTAGTAAATTCTAATATGTGTGCCCGGTCAATTAAAAACTGCTTAAATTGTTCTAAGGTGGGAACATCTCCTAAATTGCTACGTTGTTCTTCCCACTTTATGAGAGTATGGTTATGAAGTTTAGAGCAAATAAAAAATATAATTAATGTGTCCCAGTGCTCTGTGGGCTGACCTAGATTGGCTAGGGCACGCAAGTTTTTGGTGACATGATCTACTACAAATCGTAGGGAACTTTCAGTTTCGCGTGTCGATTGCTGCAAGTTGTACAATGATTTAAGGTGATGATTAATGAGTAGTCTTTTGTCATTATAACGCTGGTAAATTAATTGCCAAGCATCATTATAATTGGCAGAAGACACCTCAATATTTGAAATGACACGAGCTGCATCTCCCTCTAAATAGGAAATCAAATAGTGAAACTTTTGAATAGATGACAAGCGTTCATTGCTGTGAATTAAATTAGTGAAAGTGTCGCGGAACTCTAACCAGCGGAAATATGATCCGTCAAATTTGGCTATTTGGATTTGAGGTAGGCGAACACTAGAATCTGCGTCAAAAGATTGAGCCTCTAAAAATAAAGATTCGCGGCGTTTTTTGTCTTGACTTATTAATTTCGATTCACTTTGTTTATCTAAGAAACTCTTTGCCATAGCTATGCACAAAATGAAGTCTTGCTCAATGCGTTCACGCTCGTCCATCTCAAAATCCAAATTTTCAGAATTTATTAATTCGATCTGAGTTTGCAGCTCGTCGTATTTGGCCAACTGACCCTCGAACTTGCTGAGTTTAAGTGACAATTCAGCAATCTCAATGGTCGTCAGCGAGGGCTGCTTTGTAACTTTGTTTAAGTAATTTCTAAATCTAGCAATTTGCCCTTTAATTGAACTACGTTTTACTAATAAATCCTTTGACATCGAATGCCTCGATGCCAAATGCGGTGATAAAGTGGCTGGATCAGTCATTATTTGTTATTAATGTGTCAAATTACTAATAAAATATTGTTTTTAAATGTATATTGTGATATTGAAATGCGTTTAGTTAATAAATTATGAAAGTTTAATGAATTTACACGATAAAAAAAATATGCGAGGTAGTTCAAATCAAAATTACAAAGCCGCGCCTCAGAAAGACACAAATTTATAATAAAAAGAATACTATCTCACGCCCTCAGCCCCGACGGCAGCTAGGAAGCCGGTGTTGACGCGTTGAATCAGCTGATGTCCCGTTAGCCGGCTCGTTGAGGTCGGCCGCTGGCACAACTGAAATATTCGGCAAAAAAATACTAAAAACCGGGAAACTACTGGCGCGATACGTTATTGTGTTTAGGATTTGGCTTTAATTAGTTGAAAATAACAGAAATTACAATGATTTAACGATATTTTGAACAATGAATAAAAATTATGGGGTAGACACGATTTGCACAAGTGAAAGTTTTTACTAAATTGGATAGGATTTCGGAAATAAAAAAGGTTAGGAGTGGTTTAACAGTGTTGGGNCTTACCTAACCAACCATCCTTCTGGAAATTCCCATGGAGGTACCGCAGTAATCATAAAAAGCAACATTAAACACCACGAAAGAGAACACTTCAGTGAGGATTTCCTCCAGGCGACGTCGGTGACGGTTGAGATGAAGACGGGACCCCTTGCAGTATCAGCAATATACTGTCCACCTAGGCATAGCATCAAGCATGAAGACTTCAGCAAATTCTTCGATACACTCGGCCTACGCTTTATTGCAGGTGGAGACTGGAACGCCAAACACACGGCATGGGGCTCCCGCATGATACTCCCTCGTGGGCGACAGCTTTACATGGCTTTGATGAAGGAACAGATCCAGTGGCTCTCAGGCGGGCAACCAACTTATTGGCCGGCGGATACAAACAAAGTCCCTGATCTCCTGGACTTTTTTGTAATGAGAGGCATATCCAGAAACTACGCTACCGTTGAAAGCGTGGCTGATCTATCTTCCGACCACTCACCTGTTGTCATAAGTATCAGTGGTAACTTCGCACTCAACGTGAGTCCTCCGGGATTGTACAATGGATCGACAGACTGGGATCAGTTCAGAGAAAACCTAGACACAAACTTAAACCTCAATGTCCCGTTAAAGTCACTCAAGGACATTGAAGAAGGCGTAGAGCAATTGAATGTCAAAATTCAACAAGCAGCCTGGAGCTCAACACGATATAACACCAAAGAAATGCACCACAAAAAGCATTACAACAACCTAATTAGAGACAAAATTAAGGAAAGAAGACGCCTAAGAAAAATCTGGCAGACAACACGATGTCCGGACGATAAGAGGAACTTCAATCATTGCTCCAGGAAGGTTACTGAGCTGATCTCGGTGGCTGAGAATGAGTCCTTGCAAACTTATCTAAAAAATCTTACCCCGGATAGCAGCACGGACTACTCGCTCTGGAAGGCAACCAAGACACTGAATCGCCCGATAAAATCGTCTCCTCCCATAAAACTACCAAATGGGGAATGGGCCCGTAGTGACCAAGAAAAGGCCAATGCGTTTGCGGAACATCTGACTAACGTCTTCAAACCGAATCCACCGATGTTCAGTTCAGAGAACAAGTGCTCCAAGCAACAAGTGATCTGAAGAAGCAAGAACTGAGAAAAGGAAGCGAATAATAAACGCGAGAAGTCTCAGCAAGTGAAATAGTGGTTTTATTCCTGCAAGTAGCACCTACTACGCCTGACATAGTAAGGGCAAGCTCTCAACGGCAGTCATCATCGTCCGGTCAGCGCTCTCGAACACACACAAACGCATACAGTCCACTGCAGTCCACCACATTTTCCTGGTCCTTCGAGCCGGATCACCACACTACCTCTTTGACCGTATAACGATAACCGCTGGTTTTTGTATGGATCTTGACAGATTTTTGACGTTTGTCAAAGTTAAAGTAAGATGGTGCAACCCAGCCTTAGAGATTATTTTCCAAATTAGATAAATATGTAATAATTGGATTAGTGTTACCCAAAAAGTAATAGGGTTCCTTTAACTTTTTTTAAAGTTTACAGTTCAGTAACTAACAATGAATTTATAAAGTCGTTTAATTGAATATGATTCATAAACAAAGTTACGTTAAGTTTCATCAAAATCCATTCAGATTTTTTCCATGAAAGGGTTTCCGTTTGCATATTATACCTAGTTACGCATATAGATGGGAAGGAAGGCATTCAATTTATAAGTAAAACTAATAGTAATTTTATTTGGTCATGGCGTAAACCTATAACTTTATAGAATTCATCAACGAATATTCAAATAGCTTGTATATTGAATACTGATGTATTGTTTTAATTGAGTTATAAATGCTACTGATATTAAATTGTTAAACGATTACAAACACGTGTCATTATAAACACGCGGTCAAATTAACATCAATGTGAATTAATTAGTCTTTTTCATTTACTGTTTGATTGTAGATTAAACTACAATTACTGAAGTGGTTAACAGTTATTGTTTGTTTATTAATGACATTATTATTTGTTTGTAATAGCTGATCAATCCCTTTGTTAGAGCTTGCTTTACGAGTACTTATCTAAATAAGGTAATATTTAAGTTTAATTTACCTCGATACATTCGTAATGATTTATTCTAGTGAAAGTATGTATCGTCCATTTGCGACGACACTGTGATATATCAAAAACAGTGGTTTTACAGAAATCGACTTTTAAACTTTTGAATGACCATAACTCTTAAAATAAGGTTAGGATTACCTAATTGTGTATGAAACGTTTAAAGATTAACTATTAATGAATTTAAATATTTATAGTAAGACATAACTTTGCGTCTAAATTGATGAAATTATAGCGATTGAAAAAAAAAGAGACAACTTATCACGTTATTCTAGTAAAAAATAATATTTTGAAGATGGCAAGTTCAGTTGTCACGTTGTAGATGATATAAAAAAATATATTTATATAAGTCATTATTTAGATAAAACGTTGATCTTGAAATTTTTTATTTTATTTTACTAACATTACAATCAGTAAAAATGAGGTAATTATTGGAACAGGCGAATATTTCGCTTTGCCATGTTAAATTTCACTTATAAAAATATTATCTAAGTAGACAGACAGTTGTATACATACAATATTTAAGTTCACATTAAGTTTTCTTATTCTAAAACCTAATACTTATCAAAATAAACGAAAAACTCTCAAAAGTAAAACCTTGTAAACTACTACAAAAAAACACAGTAAGAGAAACTGTACTAAGTATGTATGTATGCAGAAAAAAAAATTGTAGGTACCTACTAGGTTAGTAAATAGATGTTTTTTAACAGACTAGTTATGACAATTTAATCCTAAAACTATCAACGCAAAAATCGCCGTCTCCGGCGCATAAAATGGCAAAAAAGCGACATTTTGGTACCTTTTAGGGTGTTTTAATTTTTTATACTTATTATTTATTATTTATTTATATTTTAAAATTAAATTTATAAAAGATATTTAAATAATGTATTAATAGTGAAAAAAAACAACCACTATTATTTTTATAAATAATGTAGCCATTTTATTGGCGTAGTTTTTCTGCAATAGTTATACCTATTGCAATATTATTATACAAAACAATGTTGCGCCCGCCAAAGTAAATTTGGGCTAGATGCGATAAAATTCCATCAATTGCTGATGATCTGTAATTATATTAAAACATTAAAATACCTTTTTTTGCAGAAAGCAAAACATAGCCAATACAGCTAAGTAACATTGAATAATTACATAATAATAAATAAATATATATCTGGGGTCATCCAACGCATTGCTATTCTAGCGTACTTCTACTAATAGATAATTTTGTTAGCTATCGTCTTAGATTAAGCTAATCTAAGGCTATTGTATGATAATATAAAATATTTTGCTTGTTGTGTCTGTAAAAACAGACAGTCGTATAAGTATGTTTTATTTGCACTGTATTTATAGTATTTGAACTATTCTTCAAAACGAATGTATGTTTATCAGTCTATATCTACTCATATTAGTTCCGAAGTTATTGTAGCTCAAAGAGACCCTTTCACAGCGCTCGCATAGCGCTGTTAGTCATGTTGTCGGATTAGGTTGTGGAATTCCTTCAGGCAGTGCATCGCCACAAATGTTAACCTTTGCTTTTTTGCATTGCTAGTCCCCATCTGTAATGATATCTGGAGTTTAGTATTACTGTTTAGCGTATACAACGTGACAAGTAGATATACCATTCAATTTCAATAACATGTATTCTGCAATAACAGAACATCAACAAATGACCTACAACATATTTCCAATATAGGAAAAATTTTCATCATCTACAACGTTATTAGTTAAGATGTCCCGATGATACTTCGATTTTCTTACAAGAATAACGTGACATATAAATAATTTATCTTTTACTTTGCTTTTGGTTTTAGAAGAACACTGTGATAAGTATGACGTGCCACATTGTCGAATAAAATAAAAATATTTTCAAAACTTACCTTTGTCATCAATACCGCGGTATCCTCGAGATGTCACGTTTTTCTTAAAAACGAAGAGCACCTCACATCTCAAAGCGCAGGTGGCAACTGAACTGTCACAGTGTCGAAGCCAACTAGATCGCCGAACGAGCCAGCGCTATAACGTAATATTTTGTCTCTTTCTCTCATAGTATTGTTGTTTTTGGAGTAACAAATACCCTGTTTTTGGAGATAAAAGAACGCAAGATCGCGGTTCAGAATTTCGGTAAAACAAAAAATCGTATATGTCGAGATGTCACAGTGTCGTCGCAAATGGGCGGTATGTGTATTTTTAACTCTGGTTCTTTTTTTCAGGGAATCTTCTCTACGATCTGTTAAAGCAAAGTAACCCATGTTATGTACAGTCGAAGGCCATATACTTTACTTCAACTGAAAGGATGGTTTGGGCCATATTCCATTGCACTTGGTAGAGCGGAAGGTAAAGGCAACCGTTACTATCAAGTGATATTTATCATCATCAT